TTTCTGAACTTCTTAATGAAGATCATGAGAATGCGATTGACTTTAGTGAACTTAGCACCTTAAATGAAAATAAAAATTTTATTTTGATCGGCATATTAGTAAAACTGAAGTAAGAGAGGATTTACAGAAATGAAGTGTGGATTGCTATTATATTGATGATATTCTAATAGAGGTGTAGAAATGCTTAGGAGATGAAAGAATTTCTTTGCATATTAAATTTTTTAACATTATTTTAAAGCCTAAAAATATGTCAAATGAGTGGAGAATGAATGTATTGATTCCTATTTTTATGAATAAACGTGATACATAAGATTATGTGAATTATAAAAGAATTAAGTTAAATTGTCATACTTTAAAACTATGGGAGAGAGTTATGGAGCATAAGTGTGATACTAATGTTTCTCAAGATCAATTTGGATTCATGCCGAGTAGGTCTACTATGGAAGTTATACATTTGTTGAGAGGTTTGATAGAGAAGCATATAGAGAATAAGAAGGATCTACATATGATATTTATTGATTTAGAGAAAGCATATAATAATGTTCCAAGAGCAGTGCTATGGAGAGTTCTATAAAAGAAAGGGGTTAAGAATGCTTTATATTCAAGTCATTAAGGATATGTATGCAAGTGTTATTACTTGTATTCAAACACAAGGTGGTTTGACAAAGTAATTTCCTATTTCATTTGGATTGCACCAAGGATTATCCTTAAGCAAAGAATCATTGCAAGCAAAACATTTTTTTGAGTTTACTTTCAAAATTATAAATACTGTTGGGGCATCTGGTGAGAGTTAAGATGCTAAGAAAGTTCTTCAACATGAAAAAATACTTTCATATCTTAAAGCTGACAATCTAATAAGTGATAAAGGTTTAAATCAAGAGACTAATTTACAAAGATTTAGTGATATTCAATGGTGTTCACATTTTCATACTTTAATACAACAACAACATCAAGCTTTTGTCCCACTACGTCAGGTTGGCTACACGAATCCTTTTTCTCCATTGTGTCCCTTTAAAAGTCAAATTCTCATTTAAATATAATAAAGAATGATCATTTCTAATATTTTCTAACCAAGTCTATTTAGGTCTACCTCTAATTTATTTAACTTAAGTCAAATCTAATACCTTTACTTTCCTTATCGGGTCTTCGGAAAGCAACCATTTTATGTGACCAAACCATCTAAGACGACTCTCTCTAATCTTTTTTTTTACATTCTAATCTTATCTTTTTTTCACACTTTAATCTAAACTAAAAAATAAATGGGCAGCCAAACCTCAGTTGGTAGACCAGCAAGTTAGTTGACCCAATATCCTGCTTGCATGAATAATAAATGATTGAAATTTTATAATAGTATTCTATTGATTTTTTATCATTGATAATTGTATTATTAATTATATTGATTATTTATACATATATCATTCATCACTTGTTAAAAATGTTTGTTTACATAACATGATATGACTTACAAACTAGAAATATTATACATTATGATTCATGTACATAGCTACATTATGGATGTCAAGCCAAAAATACATAAACTATCTCTCTCTCTCTCTCTCTCTCTCCCTCTCTCTCTCTCTGGATAGGCATGGAGGATAAGTTATTAATTCTGTTGCAGTTACCATCTTCCTTTCTTTGCAATAGTAGTATAAATAAGCTTCTCCCTAGTTGTAAAGTTTCTCCCCTTGTTGGAATGAAAAATAGAAGAAGCTCCTCCTTCCTCTTAACGAAGTGGAAGACCTCCACTGCAAACGCATGAGTTCTAAGTCTCTATTTAAAGTGATAGCATGATCAAACTTGAAAATATTAAATTAATTTAAGCTCATAACATTTTATAAGCACAACCTATACAGAAAATGTGAACATATCTTTGCAATCTCAATTCACTATTTGCAAAAAATCACTACAGGAAAAACGTAAAAAACCGACGATTTATATGGTAAAACTGGCGGTTTTCAAATATACCGGCGGCTTTAACGCCACCGGTAAAAATGGCGTAGGAAACACTTACCGGTGGTTTATTTTCGGCGGTTTTATGAGGCGGCAGATTTTCGGCGGCTAATACCGCCGGTAACTACCGGATTTGGCACCGGCGGTGTTCCGGCCGTTAAGCTGCTAGTTATTGTACCGACGGCAAGACAGTGCACTCGATCGAGCGAGAGGTGGGCGGAGGCAATGGCAGAGCTCGTCCAAAGAGAGAGAAGGAAATATTAGAAATGAAATGCGAGGGTCGGGCCTGTTCATTTTAGGGCATTTACCGGCGGTCACGACTGCCAGTATTTTCATCACTTATCAACGTCAGTCTTCGCCGCCGGTAATATTGAGATCCAACGGTTTAACCGGCGGTTACAGGACCGTCGCTATTACCGGCGGCCTAACGTTACGAAACCCCCGGCTATTACCGGCGGCCACACCGCCGGTATTACCGACGGTCCTATAACCGCCGGTCAGGACTGCCGGTAATCAGCGTTTTTCCTGTAGTGAATTAAATTTTTTGATCATATCTAAAAGAGATTTGGTAAGGAGAAAATTTTAACTTCATAACTTTAATATAGACAAAAGCTAAATTGTAAAACTGAAAGGCTTCATTTTATAATGATGTTCACATTTTTTTTTCCAAAATGTTTGATATTTTACAATGTTAACCTATTAATAAGAACTCTTGCATTACAATTTGATCCTAATTTTATTGAACTTAGGCCTAAAAGCTTGTGGTTCGATTTATTTAGTGCACTTTTATTATTATTATTATTATTAATCTGTGGTGATAACCAAGAACTTTTGCTAAAGAGCTCAGGTGTAACATATGAACCTTTATTATTTTTACATTTATATTTATATACATGTAATTTGAAATTTATATTATTTTGTGTGTGAGCTACCATTCTTATTTTATACCTCTTTTTTTACATAATAATTTTTTTTTAAAATTTTTTTTACACCTCATAATAAGTTAAGTATTGCAGAGATGTGGATGTTTAGGAGGATGAATGGCTTTAATTTTAGAGACTGGATACGAAATAAGCATGCACATGTAAAGGTTAGAGTAGTTCCAGTGGAATATAAGATTAGAGAGAGTCACATGAATGGTTTCATCACACAAAACGGTGGCCTTATGATAACCAAATTAAGAAAGTAAATGTATTAAATTTGGCTTATGTTAAGAAAGATAGAGATAGACCTAAAAAGATTTGATTAGAAAATATTAGAAACAACCATTCGTTATTAAATTTAATTGAGAATTTCTCTTACCATGACAGTGGGGAAAAATGATTCATGTAGCCAATCCCACCACATAGTGGGATAGAGTGTTGATGTTGTTGTTATTGTTCTTTTTTTTATATATATTTGTAGAATTTTTCACCCATTATTTTATATCATTGTGACATGCTGGTTAGCCTATTCAGCACCAGACATACTGAATTGCATAGCTTTAAGGTTTAAAGATTTTGTTCAAAGATAGTAATGGAGGAAACAACCACTCCAGATCATAATAGACATATCAAGACTGGTGAAAAAAATTATGTATCACCACGCAGATTTTAATTTCTCCCTCTATTGTAATCGTAAACGTGGCATTGAGAAAAAGTACAGGTCTCAGAGGCCGACACAATATTTCTACAATGGAATTCAACTATCAAAAATAGGGTTTTGAAAATTGATATTTCTCTATATTCAAACATAGTTTAAGAATAATTCATACATTAAAAGTGAAACATGAAATTTAGTAGGAATTTATGTTTAAATAGAAACTACGTTTTTGAAAAAAGTTTATTCATTCTTTTATTTAGATATGCACAAGAAAAATATTATATCATCTTAAAAGACGAACATAAATCTCCAGAAATCCAAAAGTTAAGATAGTTTTTTATAAAAAGATTTCATCATTCTAAATTAAATAAGTATCAGTAATAAATTATAGTCTGAAAGACAATATCACATACTACGAGCAATTTTAAGATTCAAAATGTTTTTTTTTAGATATCTGCATTCCAGATCTCTTCCTTATTTATTAAATAAAACAGGTTTATTTTGTTCGGGGTTCTCGAATTCCTCGGAGGCAAGCCCTCATAGTTAATATTACATCACTAAGGAGGGATACTCCTAAGAAATTCATCGTATAAAGCAGTGTTGTCATACCTTTTGATTACAAAGTAAAAAAGACAGGATGAAGTAATGAATTTTCAAGGAAAAGCTCAATGTTGAACATTTATTAGCGATCA